TTATTATTATTGTTATTATTAAGATAACATACTAGTTGAGGTGGTCAATGAAGTGCAGAAAAGAGCAAGAATAGTTCAAAGGGAGGGACGTAGATGCGACGAATAATACAAGGAGATATAAGATGGTTGGATGGATGCATGGGATTATGATGGAAGGATAACAGAAATGGAAAGATGCCAAAGTATGGAAGAACGAAAGAATGGAAGACTGAGAATAGACGGAAGAATGGAATGATAAAAGGATAACAAAATGGAAAGATGCCAAAGGATGGAAGAATGGAAGAAAAGACGTATGCAAGTAGTAACGGATGGATGGAAGGGTGATTGCATTGGTGCATGGACGTTTCTATACATATGTACATAAAATAAACAAGGAAGGCATGCATATGCAGCCGATAAAACTTACTCTGCTGGGCAAGCCTGAGTGTTACATGGCTGCCCCATGTGAGGTTTGGATGCTGAATCACACAATGATTCACTAACGTGTGTTTTATCATCAGCACGAATGCAATAAACCCATCGCGTCTTATAACCTGGGGAAAAATACAACAAACTATGAATAAGAAAGAGTTCTAAGGCAAACCTATAGAGGATGAACCTACTAGCTTACCTCCTGCGCACGTGCTGGTACAGCTAGACCAATCAGAGGTATTCCAAACATATGTTGATGGTTGGGACACGTTGGAAGGAGCATAGTACCTGAAGTCAACTCCTCCGTTACGTCCGTGTAAATAAATAAACTTAAATAAAAAAAGAAATTAATTTAAAGCTGACGAATCACACGGCCAACCCGCCAACCCGCCAACCATGATATCAAACCATGTTTACCTTGACCAGCAAAGTTTCCGTTGTTGGTCCATCAATATCAAGGATGTCTTTATATAGATTTTCTTCGTGCTTGTAGACTATCATGCTCCCGGCTGCTTTTACCGATGTTGACCAAGAGGGTAATCTTATCAGATATTTTCCTGCCTTATCCTGAATACCTTTTTGAGAACAATAAAAAGTTAAATATTATTGCGAAGGCATAAGGAAGGTGTGCATGTACTACATGTCTTTATGGTGCCGTAATTTCGAGAGCTCTGATCGCATAAATCAAATTATTATTAATTAAACATTAATTTATAATAAATCAAATACTATTATTATACATTATAAGTATCTCAAATTTGATTGGTCGAGAGCCCTCAGCCAATCCCTGATATCTTGTGAACTCCACATGATAAATGTATTATCTGTAGGTTTTCCTACATTCAGTTCATTCAAGGTCACGCTGTGGTAGCTTTGTTTTTATTCATTATGTGTATTTATTTCCAGAATTATGTACAAAAACAATTATTTAAGGAATCCTTAACTTATTGTCATATATTTTATGAAGAATTCTTAAAATATTTCTACATTAAAAATTTTGCGTTTTTCACACTATCATGACGTTCATAATTCTTGTCTCTATAATTTAAAAGTGTTCATGTTAATGTTTTTCCAGTATACAAAATGTATAATAAAGCAATTATTGAATTCGGTATCGCATAATATCGTAAATATCAAGACCTCGGCTGTGTTAACACAGCCTCGGTCTTGATAATTTACAATATCATGCTCAACCTCATCCAATAATTGCTTATTATCAACGGATAACCATTATCATCCAAACTGGTAAGAAATTGTTTACACCCACTATGATCTCGAAAAGCTGGCGATTCTTGGCCTGTATCGAATTAGCAAATCCCTCAGCTTTATGACGGAATCATTTTTAACAATTTTCTATGGAGAATCGCACGATCTCGAGTACAATTCGGAATTTATAGGTACGAGTGATGTTTTGAAGGTTTTCAAAATTGGACGAACCTTTAGGCCACCACGAGTATCTATAAATTCAGAATTTTACAAGCAGATTGTGCGATTTTTTGTTTATAATACACTCCAAAAAATGAGCAACTTAATTGGGACTCTACAGAGTACAAGTTGGGTTGTAATTGTACTCCTCTTGTCCAATCAGAATCGAGTAATTTTGTTGAGTGTATTATAAAAATGTATGTACTATATTACTATTTACCTACCTAACAGATTCCAAGATGCACCTCTTTTCTCGAAATGAGCTTTCATTGTTCCAGGAGGCAATGACTGAATGGTGTCCGCTTTATCCAGTCCTAAAAAAATGAAAAGAGTAGTGTCTATGATATGTGAAATAATAACCTTTTTTACTTTCAACAATATCATCATTAACATCATCATCATCAGCATCATCAACATCATCAGCATCATCATCATCGACATCATCAGCATCATCACCACCATCACCATCATCATCATAAACATMATCATCATCATCAACATCATCATCATCATCAACATCATCAACATCATCACCACCATCACCATCATCATCATAAACATCATCATCATCATCAACATCATCATCATCATCAACATCATCAACATCATCAACAT